CTGTGCAAAGCCCCTAATTTACTTGGTGGTGCACAGCATCTTGCAGAATTCCTTTTTCCCCTACCCTGCCACCAGCAATATCCACCTGCAGGCAATTAGATATGGAGAAAACAGGCAGTGTTTTTGGAAACTCCTCTGATACCTGCTGGCAATGTGTGCTGCAGAATGACAGTATTCAGTCTCTTTCTGACCTTGTGCTCCTGATTTATACTTTGCTCTGGCCTACTGGAAGTTAAATGCACCACTGAAGATAGTATCGGACAATTGGACAGTTAAGAAGCAATCAACCAATTTTTGGCAGTTTCTGAAGGTGTGTTAACCTGAGTAATGGTAATGTTCAGGTTTCTCCCCAAAACGACAACCTTTACAGGACTGAGCACAGTCATATTCTCTGTTGTGAGCAACCTGTCTCATGCTGATCACCTTCTACAGTTGATTTTGGGCATATCTACATCAGGGAAAGAACAAATTCCACTGAATCCATGACCTTATGCTTACATAAGTGTGTATTTTCTGAGTACTTCAGCCATGTACCTTCTCTGTAGACAAAAGGACTCTTAAGAGTTGAAATCTGCAATTTATTTTGTCTAAAAAAAGTAATACAAATAAATGAAGGCAGAACCTACTGCTGCTTCTCTTTTAGGGTTACCGATCTTCTCACGCCATATGGAGAACTTGAGATCTAGACAGAGGAGCTGGTGCTGCCAGCAGTGGTGTGGCTTTCTGGCTTGTCCAATCTTCAGTCCTTTCTGACAGGTAAGCAGTGATGGTTGTAAGGAACCAGGCATATTGTTTCACTGCCAGACATTTATTTTTTACCATTTGTTAAAACTATGTCAACTATGTTTGTGATGCTCTATGGTGAGTTAAGCACAGTTTAAATAAAAACATAAAAATCTGCCAAATATCAGAATAACCATCTAATGGAAGCAGGAGGAACAATTCAAACTCATCTTCTATCTCCTCAGATGTGTGAAGACAAAGCACCTGAGGAAAAAAATGCTGAATTTCATTGTTTTAAAAGGATAAGAGAGAGAACTTTCTTGCCATTATTCAGTGTGTATATGATGGTGCCATTCTGGTTTATTCCTTAGCATTAACACAGTTATCAGGCTAAGCAGAAAAAAGAAATCAGGCTGCCAGTCTTCTTTGTATAATTCTTGCCACAGCACGGGATGAAAAAATCAGCAGTGCATTCATGTCACGCTTTCTGCCATGATCACAATTCATATACATCTACTCTGAAGACCACAATGAAGCTACATGAGAGCCTGACAACAGGGTATCTCAAATTCTGCATGGCCACCAATGGTACTCAGATAAATCCTTTAGCAGAAGGGTGGCCAGGACATCCTCACAGGACACTTTGGCCAGGATGCCATCACTCCCTGGAGAAGATGGGCAGTGGAGGCCCAGGGAGTGTTTGCAGCCCAGACCCTGAGTTGCCTGTCCATGAACTTGGAAGAAGGGATGGCAGCATGCGGGCTGGCTCTTCTCTCTGCTGCTCGAGGTCCCTAAATGGTACTCATTTTGTGCCACAGCCATACAGAAACCCCCACTGTATTTGTCACTCCTTTTACTGCCTCTCTCCAAGCTTCTCTTGTTCCCACCAAGGGCTGGAGGTATGTAAGGATCATGCAGCCTAAAACAATATTAGCATGGACTTGTCCAAAACCGGGGCCAGTTGGAGAGGAGCTGTGTCTCAGAGTGCAGACAGCAGGGCAGCCTCACCCCCCCTGCTGGGGAGGGGGTTGGTTTGTTTTGTACCGTTTAGAACGTGTTGTTTCCAACCAATTGCACTCCTGCAGCTAGTTGCCTTACTTCAACTCAGGCCAAAGGAAAAACAAACAAACAAACCCCAAACCCCAGTCAGTCTCAGGCCTATGTGCAAGAGGCCCAAGAGGGGCATGTTAACAGTTCTGACATCATCTGGATATTGAATCATTGAACGTATAAATTTTTTTTTAAGCTGCAATGCAGAGCATGGCATGCAAGAACAACTGGCCTTTGGATAAGGTAAGGTGTGCTTGACTGTAGACGCTACCAGAATGACTGTAGAAGATTATAGCCACCCACCAAGGGAAGGAGTCTGTATCTGTGAGCTGCTCATGGAAGGTAAGAAGTTTAAATTGCTTGATCTAAGTAACATCAAGGCTCTAGCTTCCTTCATTAGGTAGAGAAGTTCCATCAGGAGTTGGACTAAAGTGTTGTGATCCTATAAACGGCACTGAGGATGTTAAGGAATAGTGGTGGATTATTTGTGTTGGTCCACTGTGACATCAAATTTCATACCAGGTTGGTGCCCTAATCATTGACTATATATACTTAATGCATTTTAATGTTGTGTCCAAAAAAGGTCTGCATTGTAGTAAAGCAGCAGCTTTACTAACCTCTAATCTAGTTGAGGTTCAGAAGATTGCAGACAGTTTCAGAGACTTCATATTTCACCCTAATACTGATCATCTAGAAATCTTCTGCAGCTCTCAAGAGGTGCAGAACAGGCTTGGTAGTTATCAGATCCTGTTAACCTGAATCAAGCCATCTACACAGATGAAGCAAAACCAAAACCACACCAAAAAAAAAGCTATTTTCAAAATCATCTTCCTCCTGATTTTTTTCTTCCACCTTGGAAGAAAGCTGTCACTTCTAAATAAACAGATGTAAAGACCTCTGAATTTCCTAGGCCACAATACTTATAGGCTGTAGAGAGACATAGCAAGAAGCAAGAAAATACTTGAGAACCCCTGTAACAGTGTGACGTATAAGGATATACCTAAGAGGGTGATGTGTATGACAGATTTTTCATCTGGGTTTCCAACCAGTCCATTGTGGCAGCAGCTGTAATACAGTTGTAGGCTATCTCTGAATGGAAATTGTGTTCATCTACTGAGCTGAAACTCCTCTTTTAACAACTTTCAGAGGATAAAAATTGTACTTTACTTTTGGAATTGTATTTTTCCAAGCCTGAAGCATCTACTTTAGAAATGACAATTAAAGCCTGCAGTCAAAATGAGATGTTAGCTTTAACTTAGAAAGGCTGTCATATAAGTTACAGCTAATTAGAGGAAAGGTGAATGATTCCAACAGGCAATTAAAGAAACAAACATCATCATTACTTGTACTCTTCACTAGAGCTGAAAATAATAAAAGCAAAACAACTCTTCTGGAAGGGAGTTGCAGGTAAGCCCCAAGGGGAAAGTCAGGGTGAGGAACTGGAGCAATGATGAGTATGTCATTTGGCTGTTGCTTTCTGAAAAGGTACCCTAAATTTTTCAGAGGTGTGTTTTTTAATTCTGTCACTTAAAGGGCAATATTGTTAATTCCTCATCTGGATACATGGAAGTTACCAAGGAACACTGTGAGCTGCAGTTGCTGTGTTTCTCTATGTTTGTATTTAAATATAAACTTTCCTGTTGCTACATAACACTCCTGAAAACCACAAGCATCTGCAACATTTTGTATGCTGGTTTATGTTAGAACTTAACAAATCCATCAGCTTCCAGAAAGTGCATGGCGCTTCAGTAGCAAAGAACTACATTGTCTTAACTAAACGTAACTACACCTGTTTGGTATCTCACTATACAAACATATGCTAAACACTCCAGTGTAGTTCTCCACCTTTTGGAATACTCGACCATAAACTAGTGGAGAAATGGAGAAAATCTGAGCACTTGATATACACACCCAATCATATTCAAAGTCCCAGCTGTAAGTAGACTCCAGTCCCTGCTTTCAATATAAGGACATGCTGATGAAACTGGAAGTCCAGTCCATGCAGATTCTACATACTTATCTCCACATTACTACAAAGCGATAATGCACAACAGCCCTACAGAAGTCTACACTGAACCTGTCTGTTCAAATGTAGATTGAAGTACTTAGTAATAAGCAACTGTTTAAAAGCAAATTATTCTGGTCTTGCACTACAGAACACCATGTAGACCATGTGTCTACATTTATTACAGGCATCAGGTGGGCCCAGCTCAAGGAATTGACTCCACATCAGTTGTTTGTGTAAAGGCTATTCCAGTGGATCAAAAGGAAACTAAGAATGTTTATGAATGTCCAGTTTATAAAACCAAAACCAGAGGAGCAGTTTATGTTTGGGCTTTCCATCTGAAAAGCAGAAAGAAGCTAGCTAAGTGGGTTCTGGCCTTACTCCTGGCAGTTTAGTACTAATCTTTCAATAGTGTGTGGTGCTTTCTCAATCTGCCTTGAATTTAAAGCAAAAGGAGTAAGTATTTTTCATGGTCAGATGGAGCAGCAGATTTGCCTTACAAAACCACGTTCCTTAGTGTAGCACTTAGGTGCTCTACATTGTTATTTCCTCATTCGCCAGCGTTGTGTTCCATGTCTTTCTCCACATAATGGTTGTTGAACAAAAGCATCCCTGCATTACACCAGCTACAGTAAAGTAAATGGGAAACATCAGCATCTGGGTGTAGTTGGAATCACAAAATGCTCCTCTTTATTATTCTTTATTCTCTCTACATAAAATGAAATGTGTATCTTACAAGAATTTTAACATAAGCATACTGCAATACAAACATGTTGCATTTAAGCAAAGTTGTTTGAAAGCTCTGTGGTACATATGAAATAACACCTAAGAATGAACTGTATGGAAAAATAAAAAGATCCTGATCTTGGTGATTTAAACTAGTTATGATTGCTGTAAGGTAGGTGGTTCAGGCAGCTGGTGCATCATGGTGCATCACACAGAAACTGTTAGTAAGCAATCATTACTGGGATGATGCCTAAAATTTTCATGTTTTAGTTATTAATTGCACTTTGGAATTAAAAAAAAAATAACCATCCTCCCAATATTAGGTTGCATCAGCTTTGGCTGGAATATAATACCATTCAAGTGAAAGTACCCTTCACTTCTTTGGAGGGACAAGTTCCATAAACTACAGTTGGAGGAATAGGTTCAGAAAGCAAGGGTTATAAACCTGAATCTTTCTGGTCAAACTGGAACACAGGGGGTTTTCATTCCCGTAAATACAGGGTGTGCTTTACAGGTAGTTGTTAAACACCCTTTCTGCAAACTTGCACAATTATATAAATAAAATATTGCTACAATTGACCAGCTTCTCTATCATGTGGTTGTGTAGCTCTATTAAAAATTAACCACTCAAGATACAAGAGTGCCATTTCACTTAACATATAGGTCTGTGCATGTAGATTTCTCTACCAAAACATTTTCCTGAGAGATCTTTGCATAAGACCACATCAATAAAAAAGTTCCCAACACAGAAATGCGTATACTATACTCTACAGTTCTATCTTATATAAAACATAGCAATAACCTTTTGAAGTAAAAATTTGTCAACGTAAGAACTAGTTGCAGGCACAGCTTGAGTTCAGTGTTCTTAATTGTCATCCGCTAGTTGTTTCTGTAAACTAGAAGACATGTGAGGAAACGCTGTTAGTGCATTTTAGGAAATTCAGATAAAGACAATTTCCATTGCTGAATATGACAACTTCTAATACAGCCCTTTGACATGCTTGAAGCTATCAATACTGATTTCAAAATAGGGAAAAGCATTTCAATTTCTTAAGCAACTAAGTTGTTTATACAGACAATATGACTCACTTCAGTGAAGCTCATTTCAGCCTAGGAGAAATCTGAAGTCCAAGAGACTTCTTTTGCATAGATCCAGAACTTGCCCCAGGCCACAGTAGCCAGGTATTACTTGAAGGCCTACAAGTTTGAAAAGGAATGAATGCAGGGCATGGCCCTCACCTTTCCAGGTACTCCCTGACGTTGTTGTAGCCGTAGAACTTGGCCAAGTGGATGAGCATGCCAGTGGCACAGCGCCCGTCCCGCCGGCGGCAGTAGCTGCAGTTGCACACCCCGCGACAAGGAGGACAGATCCAGGCCTGCAAGGGTATGAATGTGGGAGAGAAGTTAAAGGCAAGCTGTAAGGCTATATTTGCCTTCCCGTTGCTCAGACAGACCAGAGTATGGCTTCCTTACTGCTTGATTGTTCAGGGCAAGGCTTTAGGAGCCAGAATCAGCCAACCAACCTGTTAACAATTCCCAAATTCTGCAGGATTAAAGAAATTAGTAAGTCCTACTCTGCTTGAATACTTCTTACTCTGAAGACACAGCCTCTCTGATTTGTTCAGTATGAATTTAAAGTAGACTAAAGGCATCTGTAATGCCTAATGGTGACTCACCCTATGTTAGGCTGGCCACAGTGAACTCCCTAGAAGATGGGTAGCCACTGTGACAAGTTTCCTGCCGGCACTATTCCTGAGACTGAATTACCCAGTGTGGAGATGAAACAGGGCACCCCCTAGGTGCTCAGCCACTGAACACAGAGGTGCAGTTATCATGGGTATGTACTCATTACAGCTTACTAACAAAACCATATTCATTACACTTTCTTTCCAAGCTCAAGAAATTATACTTACTGGATCAAGCAATGCTGATTTCACATCTTCCCCATACCGATTTCGAAGACACGGTCCACAAAACTGCCCCCTTACTCCTCCACAGCCCTCGCTGCGACAGACTGTCTTTGTATCAATTGTCTTTTGTCTACACTGGTGGCAAGTACTACCCTGAAGTTGGAAAGGAGGAGAAATACTTATGAAGGATATCTTACATGCTTGTTGCTGAACTTTCCTAATATATCTCCTGATAGCAAAGCAGAAACTTCAACCCAAAGTCAAATTCAGCAGTGAAAATCTTAGTAAGAAGCATAAATTCTGTTATTGTGATAAATCATAGTTAGCTAGAGAGATCCTAGGAATTTTACAGACAGTGCCCAGCCTCGGTTGCATTGGAAGTCTCAAACTACATGAACCTCATGTCACAGTTCCGATCCCTTTCTTTTATGTAGGATAAAGCTAAAACTATTCAGAAAATTACTTTCTGAGTTATTTCTGCAAATACAATAAAGCATGAAATATATAGTAAGCTGATCATCTAGATCTTTACGGCAATTAATAACAGCCAAATCTGGTGAAGGAAAGGAGGAAGAGTTCCATCAAGAACTCTTGAAACAACCCAACCCATACAGAAATGTCATTTCCTGGGGCTACAAGAAGCAGCAGGGATTGTTATTATTTAATGGAACGACCACCACCACAACAATTTACATTAAGTGAGAATCAGAGATGAAAAGGATGTCAAGTCTTATCGGTGGTAACTCGCAGTTATAGCAAATTCCATGTAACAGCTCTCTGGCAAGAAAGCACTTCTTTGCAGAAGCAAAAGCTTGGTAGGGCATATCAACCTGCATGGGCAAGCCCATGGAAGCCTGGCAAAGCTTCCCAGTTGTTCTTGTGTAATGTAATAATGCAAAGCTGCACTCTCCAGAGCCTCAGGAAAGCACACCTTTTAGCAAGCACCACATTAACTGTTAAGACTTTCAGTTTCAAGCAAATAGACACACTAAAGAGAACAGTAGTCACTTACCAGAACTTTGTCATAGATTTTGTCTTTAACAGTGATTGCAATGTTGTCCAATTCCTCCTCGGTAATATCTTCTACCGGACGGTGAGATGAATACCTTGATGATCTCCTCCTTCTGTGCACTCCACAATTCCCCTGCTAAACAAACTCATCTCAACACCTTTTGCCTGGTGTCACAAAGACTCTGTCACCACACTTGGTGACAGATTCTGTAATTTATAATGTGCATGTGATCTAGAGGAGCAGACTACAGGCTTGTGAACCACTGAAAGAGCAGGGAACAGCATATCCAAATCATCACCTCTTCCTCTCCTCCCTAATCTTTTCTGTACTCTATTTATTATTGATTCTGTTTATATGACCTTCCTTTCTATCGTTGCTACTTTTATTTCCACAAATCTCTAATGTGTTTTTCTGTTACCTCATTTTCTTTGCATTCCCTGCACACTTTCACTGTACCTCTTCATACTCCATTTCTTCCTCCTCAAAATAAGGAACTATTACCATCTGCCTTCCCATGCTTTGCTCTTTCAATCTCCTCACATGCTGTCTTAATTGCTTTCTCTAATTACAATCTCTAATGCCCTGCAAAAAAATCTTTACTGAAGTTTTAAGTTAGTCCTGCCATACACAGCCCTCTGTTATTACACTGCTTGTTACTTGGAAGCATTCTCTACTCACTATTTAGTGTTCTTTTTTTCCTTCCAAATATCAGTCTCTTTGACTCCAATCCATGGTTGTCATTAGGCCCCTCAGGAGATTTCAAATTTCACCTACAAGTCTCAACTGATCCTTATCCTTCTGCCTACCTCACTCTTAAACACCTAATTTGTCCTTCACCCTAGATCAGCTTTGTTCTCACCAAAGTAGTCATTTGGCAGCCCCAGTTCTTGCTCAGTGCTACTCCACCTTGTTTAATAAGACAAGTTCCCTCTGTAATGCTTCAAGTATGTCCAGTACTCACTCCTATAAGCAGAACTGAGATACAGCCTATGCCATGTGCAGATACAAATGTAAGAGTGCTCCTTACAAAGACTATACAGTAAAGAACTAAAGAAAAATTACCACCATAAGGGAAGGAAAACCAGATTTTAAGAAGATGGGAAAGAAAAAATTCTGCAACTTTTTAATGGCTATCCAGTACATCAGCAATTTGTTGGTGCAGATTCCCTTTATTCATTCTCTGTTCCACTGTGTATCTCCTCTCTCTCTTCCCTCTGCTATTTCCAGAGGGGTTTTTGCTAACTTTTCCTGAGCCTGAAGAGAGAGATCACCTCCATCAGACCCACCACCTTGTCACTCAAAGGCCTTCTACACTGCGGGCTCTAATAATTTTCAGATAATGAATAAATAATAGATCTTAGGTAAACTTGTTATGTTTTGGACAACACATATCACAAATAGAGCCCAGTTAATGGGTGAAAGATGAGGCAGAAAGGCTTGAAGATAACTTCTTCTGTAGCTAATCCCAAACCAAAGGTTCTCACTGACTTTCCATAGGATGTGATGTCTGTTCTAAGTGTTGGCCAACAATATAAATGAATGTTTCCTAATCCCTGACACTGAAGATATCAAAGTCTGGCAAATACCACACTGAGTCTCTTCGTCAGGAGGTTTTGCTGTCTATAGCTACGGAATTGTTCTGCAAATTTAACAGCTGACATAGTAAATTTTTCCACAGCAAAATTTTCTGGCGGACGAGCATTTCTGGTTGGGTTCATGCGACGTGTTATCTGGCCTTCAGAAAATGTCCTCCTGGGGATTTTCCTCTGTTTCTGGAAAGAGAAGACAATTCAATTAACTGTTCTTTTACGTTTGTAGTGTTAAACATGAGACATTATCTCAAAATGCCTGTACCGCGCTTGTACTATCACAAATTAATCTGTTCTCGCGTTCCTTATTTGTTATGCCAAACCTCACCAATTTCTAGCATACTTAAATGTTCTCTCTACATACTCTGCCCTTTTATCTTTTTTAAACACCACAGAACTGAAATTCTATTTCAATTAGCATCTCAGAACTATAAAAAAAAATTATATGGCATATTAAGGTAGAAGCTAGTTCCAACTGTTCTTAAACAGTTAATGTTCAGATTTTTATATGGCCACCCACAGCCTCCTCCTGGAGAAACTGACTCGTTAGAACCCTGACAAGTGGTCTGCGCAGTGGGTGGGGAACTGGCTGACAGACCATACCCAGAAGGTCATGGTAAATAGTTCCTCCTCAAACTGGTAACTGGTCACAAGTGGAGTCCCCCAGGGATCGATATCGGGCCCAATGCTGTTTAACATCTTCATAAGTGACCTGGATGTTGGGATGAAGAGCACCCTGATGAAGTTTGCTGATGACACCAAGATGAGTGGAGAGGCTGACAGTCCAGGAGAGAGGTCCGCCCTCCAGGATGACCTAGACAGGCTGGAGGAGTGAGTTAGCAGGAACCGTACGATGTTCAATGTTGAGAAATGTAAGGTCTTGCACCTGGGAACACATAACCCAGGAATGCAGTCCAGACTGGGATCCACCTGGCTGGAGAACAGCCCTGTGGAAAGAGACCTGGGAGTCTTGGTGGAGAACAAGCTCAACATGAGTGAACAGTGTGCTGCAGCAGCAAAGAAAGCTGACAGGATGCTGGGCTGCATCAACAAGGGCATCACCAGCAGAGATAGAGAAGTTCTCATCCTATTCTACTCAGCACTTGTCAGACCACACCTGGAGTTTTGTGTTCAGTTTTGGTTCCTACTCTACAAAAATTATGTGGTCAGGTTGAAGAGGGTCCAGAGAAGGGCCGCAAGGATGATCAGAGGCCTGGAGAACCTGCCATATGAGGAGCGGCTGAAAAAATGGGTTGTTCAGTCTTGAGAAAAGAAGTCTTAGGGGAAAACAGTACTTACAGGGTGGCTACCAAGAAGATGGAGACTCCCTATTTACAAGAAGTCACATGGAAAAGACAAGGAGTAATGGGCACAAGTTGCTTCTGGGGAAATTCGGATTGGACACAAGAGGTAGGTTTTTCACTGTGAGGGCATTCAAACATTGGAATGGTCTCCCAAGGGAAGTGGTGGATTACCCCACTTTGGACAGTTTTATGCCTCAGCCTGAGAGGGTGGTGAGCCATCTCATATAAGTATTACCTAAAATGTTTGGACCAGATGATCCTCGAGGTCCCTTCCAACCTGGCATTCTATGATTCTGTGATTTTCCTATAAAGTGAATATATCTTCAAGGAATAATCTGAATTCTATTTTCTTTTATATTTTTTAAATTGAAAGGACGTTAGCAAGTTTCTTCTACTTCCAGATTCCTAGATCTGGATATTACTAGGAGGTACAAGATACCCTTTTCATATTGTTATACCTGCCAACTACTGTGTGATTAAATTCATGCAACAGAAGTCCTGCACAGACACATACCATAAAGGTATCTAGTAAATCTGACAAGATGTAGGAAGCAAGTCTACATGCTACTGTACTCTTTAGTTATTTCTGTCAAAAGAAGTAAAAGGCACATCACAAGGAGACAGGCTGGAAGTCAAAAAACACAGAAGAGATAACTAGAAAACTCCTTATGTCTTCCCCCTCCTCAAATGAAGATAGTATATAAAAGTAGCAGACTTATGTATGTATTCAAAGGCTGTTTAGGGTTGTATAGCATTTAACTAGAGCTAGCAAGTTTCCAGCCTTACAAAGACTGTATAATTTTGGCTTCTCCTTTTCACCTGACAGCCACCACACTGGCATTTCTACTTGGGCTTCCCAAAGAGACAGCCCCTCAATTTTTCCTCAAATCTACTCAGTTCATAATATATATGGAAAAATATGACTCTCTAAAGAACCTAGAGGAAAGTTCTCTGCTTCTAGCCAAGTCAGTTGAAATAACAACTTCACTGCAGGTTCATGTTAAAGTGGATGAACAGGATCTAAACCCAAGGGAAAACAACTACTCTTCCTTATTCCCACATAAACAGGCATCTCAACAGTATTTCTGGGGAAAAAAATTATAAAGAAGCATTTCACCTTGGTCTCCATAATTCTTCATAAATTATGTTACAAACATCCATTTCCTCACATAACCAACCTCTAGTACTTAAATACTGAGCAGATACAAATCTATACAAATAAATAAGCAAAACCAAAATAAAAACCAGAACAAACTTGGTCAAAACATTTCATCAGGAAACACATCAATCCTAAGACTAGCAAAAATTACTGTCACCTCTAGCCAATACTGGAGGAGGTACTTGCCGAAGGAGTGGAAGTGGGTGTTTTCACTGGGAACAGGTCAGGTATGGAATTCAGTTCTGCCAGCAACTGGGCAAGCTGCAATCAACAAGGATACATATTGAAAACTCACTGCAAACTTGCAAGTAAGCAATACCTATCATCCAGTCTTCACAGGCACTCCAAATTATATCTAAGCATACGAAGTTTCGGTGCATGAAACCTTTCTGGAGCTACTTTATTTAAAGTGGGGCTCAGGAAAGAGGTTCATTTATCCCTGAATGAGCAGAACTCTGCAGGTAGTACTAACTTCACAGCTCCCATTAATTCTTACTGGGAATTAAAATTAGCTTGTTACATCCCATCTCATCGAAACAGCACTGAAGGAGCACATTTCAACATGGTGAGAATATCTTTGACTGATAATGAGGCAATGGTTGAACTAGAAGGAAGAGTGGAAGGTGAGAACGGTGGCAGAGCAGCAAGACCAGCAGAACAGCAGTGAGAACACAGGACAGATTAGAAACACAGGCAGAGAACTAAAGCAAGTTTTTACATGGGACCTGCAGGCCCACACTCCCAAGAGGTGTGTTTAAGCCCCAAAACTGCTTGGAAGCTGCAACTTTTCCTGGAATACACTGAAACTGAAGGAGCTGCTGGGGACCCAACACCAATTTGGATTTGCATGGCAGCATGACAACTAAAGATGCTGGTGGCATTTTGCACAGTAGAGGACAAAGCACTAGGGAACAATGAGTGTCTCTCTTTTCCACACCTACACACACACATACACACACTTTCAGTTATATAGCAAAACATAACCGTAAACATCACATCCCACACAACTAAAAATCTTCATTTATCACTCTTATCAGCTTTTAGCTGGCTTTCCAACCAGGAACTACAGCAGACCTGTCAGACACAAATGGAAAGCAGAAACTCTATTGTGCAAATGATACCATGAACAACCTGAAGGGAAAAGATGCTTTTCTGACATGTCCTGAACATGAGACTGCAATTTGGGCATCTGTAACTTTGTTCACATCCACATATAAAATGCCTGGTTCAAATCTAGTTCCAAACTTGAGCAGACAAGTAACACTTGAGGCTATTTTAGGGCTAAATGTCTGAGTGCTAAAGGTCCTTTGGGTTTTCCCAGGTAGAAAAATTCAAACACAAACCGCCATGAGATTCTCCCAAAGCTCCAGCACAGCACCAGCAGGGACCCCAAAATTCAAGTGTGCTAAAGCTAAGTACTGAGATGTAAACGTCACACAACAAACCACTGCACCGAAGTCTTACCATGGCTTTATTTTCTTTAATGTTCATGGCTCTCTTAAGAAGAGCACTGGAGCTTTCCTCCTGTGATTCTTTAATGTCTTCTTCAGACTCTGAAGCAGATCCCTCTTGTTTGTCCCACCCCTTGCAGCTTATTTCTTTTGAAAGATGTGTGAGGGATTCACTGTCCTTTAGAGGTAAGTCAGAAAAAGCCTGTTCAGGCACTTTTTTCTCAGACGACTTTCTGGTGGGAAACTGCAAGGCAACACGAAGGCCAAAGCTTCTCTTGGGTGAAACTTTCTTCTTCACCTCTTCCTCCTCTTGTTCCTCACTACCAGGTAAGTTATCGTGTTCTTCATCAACCAAGTTCGACTTTAATGCCTAGAGGAAGGAAGAATTCCATGTTACATCATTGGCTGTGACATGAGAAAGGTGATTTTTTCAATAACTGATTCTAGGCTGAAGTCTCACCACCCAAAGGCACGGTCATAAATTCATGTACATCAACCCATTTTTTAAAGTTCACAGCACACAACTTCTCCCAGAGACCAACACAAAATCTACACATTAGTACTGTCTGTAATACAAAGGTGGCTGTCTTCAGAGGAGCAATCATGCCCAGCACAGTCAGTTTACAAGCAAGGGAAGTTCTCATTTCTAGTATGCGATGTTTCATTAAATAAAGCTCTTTTTCTCTTTTAAGATAAAACATTTCTCTTCAGGGTGAAGAAAGATCATAGTGTACCAGAAACACTCCTGCTAGAACATGAGGTTTACACAGAAGACACATTAAAAAATAAGTCAACATACATATCCACACACAGGTGACTGCCTTTACCTGAACTCCTTTCTTGTTCACATCCACCTCACTTGAAGCGAAGCCTTCAAACGTTTCCATTTCAGAGTCAGTGTCTTCAGTGAAAATCCTCTGCAGTTCTACAGTGAGGTACCTAGGCTGAAATAGAACCCCCTGTAAAAACACCAGCCAGTAGCGGTGAGAGACAGACAGACACAGAGTAGTTGCAGAGCCACAACAAACAGATGCTGAGGTTCAAGCAGGTACCAACTGTATGGCAGATACTTTGAAAGCACTTTGCAGGCAAAGTGTAAAAATAGAAATAAGCATGAGACATTCAGAGATTCAGCATTGAGTTATTTGAACTTAAGAGGTTTTTTCCTCATTTTGAGCACAGAGCTTTAACTGAGCTCCTTCTTGCCCTCTTCCTCCTCTTCTTCACTACCACCCAATAAAAATAAACTATTGGCTTTCTTAGATGTAACTTACCATGTTGTTTTGTGTATTTCCTTTTGGAAGTAAAAAAACAGGCCTTGAATGGAAGAACATACAAACCACAACCACAGTAAGATAGAGCCCACCTTTTATTCCCTTAGCAGTAGAAACAACTCTCTCCTCTGGGCTTGCTGGAGCAGTGCTTGAGGCCCCTGGAGATGGAGTCTGCTCCTCCTCAAGCTGTTACGCTGTCACTGAAGTGACAGCTACCAACACAAAACCACAAGCTTTGAACAGCCTGACTAACATCTCTCCCCCTTCCAGCTGCTCAACTCTCTGCTTTAATGGTGTGGTTTATCATTCAAACTAGGGTAGACAGATCCCACATTTCTGCCTACAGACTAGGAAGTATAAAGTCAGCCCATGAAAAACAAACTAAGATCACATCAAAGCACTCCACAATATGCATATTACATGCCAATTAAACCATACCAATGCATTTACTAAATCAGAAATATATTTCCATACTTCTAATCAGAATTAGTACAAGACCATCTGTCAATGTGTCCCTGTTACTCTCCTGAAGACTCATACACAGTGGGAACAAAACCCATGTTCACACCACAGCTGCCTCTTGAAAGTCAGCAACACTCAAGGTTGTTTCCCCAGTTTTTGTCTGCTATTTCTTCCTCCCACACAAGATGCAAAAATGACCTTCTATACAATGCACTTGCTAAATAACTTTATTCTTCTTTTCAATTCCCTCCCTTCCCTGACTTTAATTACATACTTATTTATGTTAAGATAATATCTGCTGAAAAACATATAATAGATGAGAGAAAAAACTTAGAGGAATAGGAGGGGGGAGCTACTTCATAAGCTATTTCTTTACACTTAAACATCTCCTACAAATTATTACGGGTAATTGGAATGAGTTTTCTCTAAGCAAAATTACTTTATTCTTTTGTTGATAGCTGTAGTGCAGCTGCTTGAAAAAGGAACAAACACAATAGGGAAGTTACTTTAAGTTAAATTGCATTTCTTGGAGGAAAACTGAAGTTTTTATGCATTTTGTGTTGTCATTAAATTCCACAGTGAAGGTTGGGGGTTGGGAAATAAGCTGTCTGTTAGCGAAAAGAACATGTTAGTGAATTTGCACATCAGCATCCAAGGGAATATCTGATGGGAACATCCCATTCACCATTCCAGTAGGGCGGCTGCCTTGCCTCCTCTCCCAACAACTGCAATGTTTTTCTGAACTTCCCATCAATTTGCTCTTGACATCAAAACCTTTTAGGTTCCTGCACAACAACCTACAGTCTTTCTCAGCAACAGTGGTGTTTAGCATCATAAATGGGTTGAACTCAAGATAAAAAAAATGTGGTTTTAATGTACCACTTAGTGGTAAAGGAGTTAAGTTCCACAGTGATGGAGATTTATATTAATTCTCAACCCAAGGGAAACAAAGGAATGGTGAAGAAGGCTGCAGAAAAGCTCTACAATTGTTGTCACAGTTTGACTCAGGTCCGACAACAATGCTCTCGATCCCCTTCCCCCCCCCACCCAGGTAGGGAAGGAGAGAGAGAAAAAGAGAGAGACTTGACTGGATTGAAAACTCAACTACACAGCTTTAATTAAACACTAATGAATGATACAAGAAAATATATACAATTATATACAGATATATTCAGGTATGGGCAAAAGCCTCTCGCCTCCCCCCACTCCAGCAACTCCCACAGCACTTCCCTGAACTGGGAAGAGTCCCGAGGAATCCCAGAGCTGCTGCTGGAGAAAGAGCAGAGAGTTATGGGGGTCAGGAGATCTCGAGCCTAAGGGTCGATGGTGCTGGATGAACAGAGTCCTCCCTGGACGCCGGCCATGGACAGAAGAGAAGGGGAGAAGAAGAAGGAAGGAAGTTGTCTTCTGTGATCTCTGACCTTCCTTTGAGCTTACGTAGATATATGGAATGGAATATCTTTGGCCAATTTTGCTGTCCATCTAACTCAGCCTCCTACGGGGGGGTCACAGATCTCCCCATAGTGTCTGAGCCAGCAGAGTGAAGGTGTGACCTTGAAGGCTCAGTAGTTAGAAAAACATTCCGCTGTCTTATCAGCCTAGCAGAACACACTGTTGCTAGTTACAAGAAAGCTTACTGAAGGAAAAAAAATTAGTAAAAAGAAAAATTGGCTTCATCCTGGCTCCAACCAGGACAATTTGGAACAATTGTCAGTGAGATTCCCAGCAACGCATGTTATATTAGCAGCACCTAGCTCTTCCACAGCATTTTTCATCAGAGGATTTTAAAATGCTCTGCAGCAAATATAATTAACATAACACCCATCTCACAAGTTGGGAAACCAAGGCAGAGACAAGTAAAGTAAGGTGCCCATAGTCCCGAAGCAGGCAGCAGAAGCAGAAGCCCAGGCTCCCACACAAGGCTCCCTCTGCTCCACCACCTCATTGATGCTTCTTCATGCCCCACACAAAGCCACAGATACAAGAGTAAGCTACCACCTTCATTTTCTGAAGTGACCAGTATCACTGTGTAGCAAAACAATTACAAAGCAATTTAGAGCCAAGTATATATCATTACATTTAAGCTGCTGTCCTTCTCCATGGTACAGACTTGAGGCTCTACTCCCAAACAGCTCCTGTACTTCGTACAAGCTTCTCTGAGGCCATTTGTGTATGAAGGCTCAGGAACAGCACATACTGGTATAAACTTCATGCTGTCTGTTCCCTTTGCTAAAACTAGTCACTCTCCTTGTCTTCAGCAACTCTTAACCAGGTACCGATGGAAAAGGGGGGGGAAGACTACCAAAAAAGTGGAAAAAAAGAGCAAAGAGGAAAAAAAGCGGGAGAAAGAGCGGGAAGGAGAAAAGGCGGGAAGGAGAAAAATCAGAGAAAAAAGACCTTTTCAATTTTTTTAATTAATGGAATGGAGGGACCCTTTTGAAAGCACAGCTGACAAAGGTATCTTTTAGCACATTGGCCCATATCTAGCAAGTATATAATTACAAGCTTCTAAAAGTCTAAAAACTAACTTTTCTGGCAGCTAAGACAACATATTGATTCTCTTCCTTTCTTGTGAATTCACCTGGTACCTCCAGCTACCCAGTCAGAGAATGAAAAAACATAATCACATTTTGCTGATCCAAGCTACTTCACCATTAAGAGAACAGAGAACCCGCACATCTCAGAATCAAAGCAGGATCTAACGGTTTCTGCAGGTCACCACCAATAAAACAGCAATTTTAGTGCAAAAAAAGCACCAAGATAAATCAGTGCAGAAACAGCATGGATATAAATTTTTGAAATAAATACCTTTAAGCCTGCATAAAACCCATGTATTACCATGCATTTCCACTATCTTACCTACCCAGAACGCACCAGCCCAGGATGATAATTCTCTCTCTCCTGTTGGCTTCACTTACTTACTTCACTAAACTCATCTTCTAATGAAATCGATTTTCCTTATATTATGAAAGAATTTTTAAAAGCAATCATCAGAACCTAAAAAGGACAGCAAGTTTATTTACATTTACTTTTTATATGGGAACTGCAGGTTATAGCTTTTGCTATGACTTACAGCTCAAATCTGAGCCTCGACACAAGCTCAAAGTACTACTGCACCAAAAGAGCACACGGGTCCACAGCAATCCATTCCTACCTTTTTTCCTGACTCCGAGGAATCAAAACCAGCATAGCTGTCCTCTGATAACAACCTCTTCCTGGATGCATCATCCTGGAACCCCAGAAAATCTTCATTGTCACTAGGGGCATTAAAAATGTCAGCCACTTCCTTGGAAATCTGTTTCTGATTCAAAATGAGACAGAAAAAGTCAGAAACACCAACTTAACAGGAAAACTCGTATTCTCAATGGAACAATTTATTTTTATACTCCAGTGCAAGTACAAATTTGCATCACAAAATACACCATGCATAGCAAAACTGTACCTCATTTAGCTAAACTCTAGAAAATTCTGTACAGGCAGTTTTAACCTCTAAATACAGATTCTAGATTTGGGGCTAGGGAAGGGATGTAATATGCAGGGTGTTTAAGTCCAAATATCACTACTTCTCAAAACATTAAAGTATGTGTGTGCCTCAGGAGCACATGCTCAGAGAACCCTTTATCTGCCATGAAAGCCACCACTGCTCCTCCTCTCACAGAGGAACTCTTGACTTATGGGTGAGGAACACACCTTCAAACATAATGCAATGCTGAAAAAGCACAAAGAAACCTTACCAACAGATCCAATGACAGTACAGTAACATAATTTATCAGACACTTAACCAACTCCAAAAATAAAACAAATACAACTCATTCTCTTCTGCGAGCACTCCTACAAAGCTTTTCCTGCAACACTTGGTAAGAAAGTGAAAGCCTATTTTAGCCAAGAACATTTCCCATTTGCTAGAATCCCACAATGCAGCACACCAGGAGGAAGCACTGCCAAGGACAGACACTTTCTGAGGTGACCAAGGTCACAACTTCAGAGTTCCAGTTGTCCAGTCCCAGAACAGGAGACTCATATCACCACATCCAACCTTCCCCCTGGCAAGATACTTTACCAAGCACTTCAGGTAAGCCTCTCCATGTTACAGGCCAGTGAGGAAGTCTTCAGACAACTCCCTGGTGAGGAAGCCAGTTCCTCATCCAAAGGGAGAGGTCTCCAGTCCTGTACATTTAAGAGAATATCCCCAAAATGAACTCCATAGTTGAAAACAA